TGGGTGAGAAGTTCAATTTTACTACTTTTTAATTATTTTGATCTTTTTTAGTATTATAAGACGAAGAACTATCGAATAAAATTCTAAATCCAAATTGAGAAAATAAATCATTTGGCATGAATTGACATTTATTCCAAAACATAAAACAATTTTCATGTATGCTGATTTAAAAGTTGAGAATATTGCAAAGATTTGGGTCAATTTGGGCGAGTTGGGTTACAACCCATTGTTTAGCCCATCTTGACCTAACTCATCTTAACCCAAGTGAATTTTGGGCAGGGCTGGACAATGATCCATTTAACGAGTCGACCCATCTTGACCAGCCCAAATACATCCAAAATAGCCCATTTGTCACCCCTACAGGATACTGAAACAACTTAATATGTAATACATTGCAATGCATCCCGAACCATACTTTGAATAATATCAGGATATGACACATTTGTTTAAATTTTTGCAAGCATAAAAAATATGTATGATTTATATTGGTACTTTCTTCATCGTTAGAAGCCTTTGTTTATTACAAATGGTAGGTTGTTTTTATCAAAAATCGGATATACTTTTAATTTTACGGAAGCATTGACCTTGAATTAGAACTCTGGTATTACAACTCCCCTAGGATGTAAATTTTAGATTGCACACTTAGATGTAGACAATGAACATAAACCTATTGGATCACATCATCCATGGTTACATATTCACCTCTGATTTTTTAGAAAATGACTAGAGTGTCTAATTAAACAGGTAAGTGAATAACATGAACTTGGTAAGGACATTGTTGGACATATTTTACGGTGTTTGAATTGCCAGCAAGTTAAGTATGAACATCTCTGGTGGTTTGATTCAGAAAATAGTTATTCCGGAGTAAAAATGGGAACGCATTACTATGTACTTTATGGTAGGATTACCACGTGTCTGAGGAAGTTTGATGCTATTTGGGTCATTGTGGATAGGTTGACCAAGTCCGCACATTTTACACCGGTGTTGACTACTTATACTTCGGAGAAGTTGGCCTAGATCTACAACCGGGAGATAGTTCATCTGCATGGTGTGCCTGTTTCTATCATTGCAGATCGTGACGCTCAATTCACATCTTACTTTTTGAGAGCTGTTCAGAGAGAGTTGGGTATGCAAGTTGAGCTTAACACGTCTTTTCACCCACAAGCGGATGGTTAGCCCGAGCGGACTATTTGGATTCTTGAGGACATGTTAAGAGTTTGTGTGATTGAATTTGGAGGTCATTAGGATTAGTTTTTACCTTTGGCGGAGTTTTCTTACAACAATTATCAGTCCTGCATTCAGATGACTTAGTATGAGGCTTTGTATAGTAGACAGAGTTGTTCTCCTGTTTGTTGGTTTGAGCCTGACGAGGCTAGGTTGTTGGGTACAGATTTGGTACGTAATGCTTTGGAGAAGGTGAAATTTGTTCACAAACGACGTCGGATAACACAGAGTAGGTAGAAGCGCTAAGCGAACAAGAAGGTTCTTATGTGGCATTTATGGAGGGTGAGAAGGTATTTTTGAAAGTTTCTCCCACGAAGGATGTGATAAGGTTTGGAAGGAAGGGCAAGTTGAGTCCGAGGTTTAGTGGACCATTTGAGGTGTTTCAAAGAGTTGGTAAGGTTGCTTATAAGCTTGCTTTGCCTCCTAGTTTATTGGTGGTACATTTAGTATTTCATATTTCTATACTTCGAAAGTATAATAAAGATAAGTTGTATGAATTGGACTTCGGGACAGTGCATCTAGATGAGAAATTGGCCTATGAAGAAGAGCCAGTAGCTATTTTGGATAGGCAAGTTTGGAAGTTGATGTCAAAGGAGATCATTTTGGTGAGGGTTCTTTGGAAAAGGCAATCAAACGAGGAGGCTACTTGGGAGGACGAGTCAGACATGCAGAGCAGATATCCATACTTTTTTAGTAGTTCAGGTACACTTCTAAATTCGAACATTTGTTTAAGAGGTGGAGAATGTAACGATCCGACCGGTTGTTTTGAGTTCTCGAACCCTATTTTCCTGTTTGATGCTTTCCGTAGCTGCTTTGATTTTTTATGACTTGCAAGAACGAATAGTTTGGTTCCCGAGGGGTTCATGAGTGATTTAGAACACTTAGTTCCTAACTAGAGGCTTAAGGTTGGAAGAGTTTACCAAAGTCAATATTGTGGGTAAACGATACCCTATTAGTGATTTGAAGGTTCCAATAGATTCGTATAATGATTTTAGACTTGTATGTATGTTCGATTCGGGTCTCGGGTGGCCCGAAGTTGATTCGACACTTCTAGTCGAAAGTTAGAATTTGAACTTAAGAAAATTTCAGATTTTTGGTTTCATGCTTGGTTCTTGGTTTTGATGTTATTTTTGTCATTTTGAGTCTTTTGGAAAGTTTGTATAGGGTATACGTACTCGTTAGGATAATTGGACGGGGTCTCGAGAGGGCTCAGGTGAGTTTCAGGATGGTTTCAGAACATTTTGGAATAAGTTAGAATTGTTGGTTTGATGGTGCATTGCAGTGAATAGCAATTACGAAGCCGTGCCTCGCGATCGCATTGAAGGATTTGGCTGGGGGAGATTTTGTGCTTCACAATTGTGTGGAGGGGTTCACGAACGTGTAAGTTGTTAGGTAATGCATTGAGATCACGTGAGGGAACATCGCAATCTCATAGGAGCCAGGCTAGTTGGCATACGCGATCGAGTGGGCCAGTCACGATCGCATAGAAGAAATTGGCTCTAGGGGTATAATTTGGCCAAATTTTTAGTCTTGGCTCATTTTTACCATTTTAGTTTTAGAGAACGGGAAGAGGAGATTTCGAAGAGGAATTTCACCCAATCTTGAGGATGACTATTTATTACTTGGATTTGATCATATATATTGATTCTCCATAGATTTCTACACCTAAAACATGGAATTAAAGAGTGAAATTTGAGGTTTTGACAAAAACATAAAAGAGTGTATTTTGAGATTTTAAATACTGACGTAGACTCAAATTTCTAATCTAATCACATGTTTGGACTCGTGGGATTATGGGTCAATCAGATCTGACCTTAGACTCGGGTTTCAACCATGTGTATCCGGATTGACTTTTTTTTTGAATTTTGATATTTGATTTCAAGATTGAAGCTTTATTGTTTGGAATTGGTTTGTATGACTTCATTTGATCTTGTTAAGTATTGTTTGGCTAGATTTGGAGCGTTCGGAGGTCACATATAGTGTGAAGGGCATTTTTGAAGGTTGAACCTTGTTTCGGATAAGGTAAGTAGCTTGACTAACCTTGATTTGAGAGAATTATTTTATAAAATGGATTTATTTCAACATGCTACATGTTTGAGGGTGCCATTAATGCAGGTGACGAGCGTACATGTGAACGCTAAGGTTATACCATGCTTGGGGTAGAACTTAGCCTTCCTTGTATTTTGTTTAAGATATATTTCTTATTGTCTATGCTTTATTTATTTGTATGACTATTTGAGCAATCTTAACCATGCTAGATATTATGTCTAGGCTTTTGATGCTATATTTTGACATGAAGGGCTATTCAATAGTTTGGATTATACGTTATAATCGTAGTCAAACTTGTACACATGCATACATCTCTGCATGATGATATTCTTCGTTCTTATGTATTTTATATGCTTATTTCTTGTTCATATCCATACATCCCGACATATTTACTCTACTATGGTCTGAGGTTGGCATGATGTGACATTCCGTGCGGCCATTATGATTGGGCACGACGGTACATTTCGTGAGGTTTGATGACTGATTTTTGAGATATTGATATATTATGGAGCTATGACACTCGACGTATGGATTTGGATCCATCACTCCGGAGTTACATGGTCGCCTATTTACCTTGGGCCATGTGTGCTCAACTGACACTGGGACTGTCAAGCAAAGGGAGTGTCGGTTGTTATAAAGTTTGAGTCTTTATCATGCATTGATAATGTAGACTCATTTAGAGACATGCATATACGTGCTACTTGATGGATATCATCCATATATGTTGATACCGTGCCTTACTTGCGTTCTAGATCAACTTATTTAAAAAGCATGTTTAATAGCTGATTCTTGGCTGCCTACCTTACTATCTAAATCTGTAATATTTTGGTTGTTATTTCATTTATTATACACTTTTATGAGCTTATCAGGTTTTAGAATTGTATCACCTTTGTCTAAACCTAGCCACTACTTCATCGGGGTTAGACTTGATACTTATTGGGTACACGTTGTATTTGTACTCATACTATACTTTTACACATTTTTATGTAGATCTTGATATTGGACCTAGTGACGTTCAGGAGGGCGCTTAGTAGCTGATTGAAGACTTCGTGGTTAGTTGTTGTACTTAATTTGCGGCTTATGAAGTCCCGTTCTTATCCATTCTACTGTTATTTGATTAAGATAATGTTTTTATGTTTGCAACTTAGTTGTACTCTATTTAGTTGCTCGTGACTTTGTACTATCAGATTTTGGGAGATTGTTGTATTTTCTATATTTGGTTGACGATTTGACACTTATTTATGTTTTATCTACATATTGATAACAAATATGAATATCCAAAGAATCACGAGTCATACCCAAGTTTGATTTGGTTTGGTTGATTATGATTGTTGGCTTACCCAGGGTTGGGGTTAGGTGCCATTATGGCTGTCCAACGGGACGGGACGTCCCGTCCCGTCTCGGTCCCGTCCCGCGTCCCGTCCCACTTAATTTTAAACGGGATGGCCCCATGTTAAACGGGACACGGGATGGGACGGGATGGCCATTTCGTCCCGTTTATCCTGTCCCATTTCGTCCCGTTTCGTCCCGTCCCGTCCCGCCCGTCCCGTCTGTCCCGTCCCGTCCNATTATTCTCTCAATTTTCTCGCAATCAAGTGATAAGTTTCAAGTATTTGGACAAATATTTGGAGCAACTTTCAAGCTTCAAATTAATTTATCAAGTATTTGGAGCAATAGTTTGGGCAATTTCTTCAAGTTTCAATATTTAATCACGGTGCACTCGTTCCATCTCCTAATTTTAATATATATTTTTTGCGCATTATTTTAGTGCTTAATTTTTGTGTTTACTTTACGTGTTCTATTTTCGTATTTCATTTGTGTTTTTAATTTTTGTGTTAACTTTTTAAATTTAATTTCGTATTTAAATTATGGCACCTAAAAATGTATTTGGCGTATTTAAAAAAACTAGTAAAAAAAGTAGTAAAGGTGAAAGTAGTAGTAATCCTAATCCTAGTCCTAATCCTAGCCCTTCTCCTATAATTAGAAAACATATAGATGAAATGACTCATGTTGATGAAACTTTATTTTCCCAACCCCCCGCATGTTATAATATTAATTTCGGAGAATAACTAGATCATGAAACTTTACAAAGATAATTTGGCAAGGATATTTTTATTGAGGACAAAGAAAATGAGGATGAAGAAAATGAGAATGAAGAAAATGAGGAAGAAGAATTAGATGAAATACCCACTAGTCCCGTAACACAAGCTCCAACTCAGAGTCAATCTCGATCTGGAGCTTTACCCCCTGTACCTCCTGTAAGGGGTAAGCCCAAGGGTGAACGTCCCAAAACATCACTTGTATGAAAATTTTTTAAACATGATAAAGTCAATCAACGTGATACATGTGAAATATGTAAGTAACGATTTGTGCACACCAAAAATGGTGGGACGGGGGGCTTATCTAGGCACTTAGGTAGGGACCACAAAGCTTTATGGATACAAGCTAAAATAGAAGCCGGACAAATACCGGATCCTAGCACTGGTAGTAGCACTCCTAGTATATCTGGCGGGGGTTTTAATTTTTTACAACAACAACTTGACCCTGCTTCTGGTACGATTTTACGCCCATATAACAAAGATAGAGATCGTGAGAACTTAGCAAAAATCGTAGCTGTATGTGGCTTACCTTTTACCTTTCCTTCTCACCCTGCTTTTGTTCATTATATACAAGAAACTTATAGTCCTTCTTTTCAAGGTTTTTCTAAGACTACAGTTAGAAATGATGTTTTTAAATTTCAAACCGAATATC